AATGAGTTATTTCCCTTTGAACAGAAATCTAGTAACAAATAAGTATTTCATCAAAAATTTTATTCTAGGGAAAGGGCTTAAACTGAACAAGGAGAAAAGCTAAAATCGTGAAAATCGACTTGACCTGTAACTTGTCATGATAAAACAATACACCAAATATCAAATCAATATCTTGAAGCATGTAAAAAAAAAAGTATGGAAAACTGATTTGCCGGGCTGACGGACGGACAGACAGACGGACAGAGTGCAAACCTAAAGTCCCCTTCGACTTCATCGGTAGGGGACTAAAAACTCATTTACAGCCAATATATTGTTTGACACATACTGTTGAAGATATTCTAACCTCTAGATATATTCGGGTTACGTGTTTCGTGTGGATGCTTTCTCATTGAGGTATACTACATTCCTCCTTTAATTTTTTTTATGTCAAAATGCTTTATAAGGAAATGGCATTTCAAGAACAGCTTCAAACAAATGCAAGAATTCATAATATGCCTTCTAGTTAATCCAAAACCAATAACTTTTTATATTTGCATAATTTTATTTCAAATTGCATGATATAATTTTTTTTATCAAAAGTGATCTTCAGTACTAAAACTTTTACTAAATAAACAAAATATTCAGTCCCAAAGGGATTTAGTTTAATATGTTTATATGCAATTAAATTAAAATATGAACTAAAATAATAAAATTAAATCGAAAAAAATAATCAAACTTTTCCTTAAAAATAAACATTTGAAATGAACAATACACTTGAAGGATAAAATAATTAAGCAGGAAAAAGAGGGTTGACAAATCAGTTTACACTTGCCTGAATATAAGGTTTAAATACAGTGAACACTTGCATAAAGATTATTTTCAGAGGATGTGAATCTAGCTGGCCTCAGGTGTATAAGTTGGTCTTTTAAAGTAGTCAAAAAAAACTGTATAACTAGTCTGTCAACACTGAGGTTGGGAGTTTGTATCACGCACTTGGCAGGTGCACTCCACTCCTAACTTAATTGACTAAGATTGTCAGTATTCCTACCGAAGTTCGTGGATCTCTCCAGGCACAACGGCTTCCTAAACTTTTAAAAACTGCTGAAATGGAGTTAATCATCAATCAATTTAACGAAGTTGTTATTTTGGTCCAAGAGGGCATGTAGCAAATGGTTCACTGAGTTTACATTTTACATTAACAAGCATTTTAATTTTAGCAGAAAAGTGGAAAATAGCATTTAAAAGTTACAATCGCTACTTATATAAAAATAAACAGATAAACCGTTTGTTTAGCTAAATTAGCATAACTTGTATTATTTATGTATTTTAACACTATTCTATTATACTAAGTCCAAAATTTAAAACTTTCCTCATTATATACTCCTACCCAAACAACAGTTAATGCATGCTTGTTTACTGTTAGACAATGATTAAATATAACAATAATAAAAATTAGTCACACAAAAAATTAAATAAAAATATTTGGAATGGTTATTAAAAGGTTTCTTTGATTCAAATTAGTTAACAAAATAAATCATGCATATCATATACCTATATATATATATATATACTTCTTATCAGCATCCTATTTCACATGGATGGGGTGCATGTGTCTGATGAAACTAATTTTTCCATAGAAATATTGCTTGAATCTATCAAATATAACACCTATTCTTATAACACTCATTCGTGTGTTAAAGTTACTTTTTTAGGCATTTTAAAATATCTATTGTATATACTTTCCAGTACTATTCCCCATAGAAAATAGGCAAATACTTACACAGAGAGTAAAAAGATAATCAAAAGGGGGAAGACAGAGGTAAGGGACATGGAAAATGAGAGAGTGGGACGTGGGAGTCAGGGGATGGGGTGGGAACCATGGGGAAAGGGGGAGTCCAAATATGAGAAAAATTTTGACCAATTTTCGTCTGGGAGTAGGGAGGAGGGAAGTGGGAGTAGTGGTAAGAAAGTGGGAATCTGACACCTCTCTGTCTATCCCCTCAATTAAAGGAAGGAACTTCCAATTAGAGAAAAGAGGAGATAATTCTATTATTTAAGGCACTGAAAAAATTAAAATTGATTGAAAATTTCAATCAATTCTTTTGTAGTAATAAATCTTCACCTAACATTATACCTTATCATTATGAATTTTACAAAACTGATTTAGAGTGGAAAAAAATTTAAGAGAAAAAATAGGCACCATATGATACCAAAAGCAACATTCAAAAATACTAAGTAAAAAAGAAACTGACAACACTCCAGCAAAAAAAACAAACAACTATGAAAAATACATGTTCACAAAACACGACATAGTACCGCTTAAGTCGACGCTAGAGGCCGTCTTCACCTTGTTGTAGGGTATGAATGATTCGTTCATTGTTGAAGACCCTAAATAAACTGTCAAGATGAAGAACAGGAATAAAAGCCTTGTTCATTGATAATTTTCTATGTTTTTCTATGTATTGGGTGCGATTTTGTACATTTACTCCATATCCTTTCATTTTCTATAGAGATCTAATTATTGAGCAGTACTAACCCAAATAAAAATTTGGGGGGTTTCAGGTGCTCTGGAATGGTTAGCAGATTCTAAGAGTTGAAATTAGCATTTAATATTTTAAATGATAAGTCATGCCCAACAGGAATGAGACAACATTGTACAATTTCAAATATATTATAAAAACAATAAAAATAAGTAGAAATAAATATTATTCTAAATAAATATGTACAACTGGTTTTTATCTGCTACAACACATTACATAATACAAGATGCTATACCTTCCCAGCCTATAATGCATGGATACTGTGTCCCTGTTCCTGGAAGAACTTTTCTGGGCTACTCTTATTGTTGGTGACTAGTATGAATGTTTTTTCATTCTATTGTATAATATTTCATATAACTTTTATTTAAATAGTTAAGACTAGTCCTTCCTAGTTCAGTAAGAGCTGCCTGTTGTATAAATGTGATATATGTTAATTTTTATGTTAATCTAACTTCATGTTTTATCTTCACAGAAAATTACCTAAACATTGCACTTTTATTTATTTTCAAATAACAATATTCAAATGTTATTATTTTCTTAGGAAACAGGTATGACATAATCTATGAGTTTTCAAGCTGTTGGAAAGGTGATCAGCATCATGGGGATGTATTTATTAAACATTCTTACAATATTTATAATGAACAATACTTACTAGCAAAACAAAGCTATTAAAAAGATACTATAGTCAGAGGTCAGAAGTGTTTCATACCTCAAAAATTACACTACATATTATATTGATATTTTATGTAAAAAAAAACCACTTTGAATAAAATGTCAAAATCTTATCTCATGTCCATTTTTCATAGAATTTTTACTGTTAAACTTTTGCATTTCTTATGGTAATGATGAAATACATTTATGGTGTGTCATAACTAAGAAATCATTTTAATAAAAATATTGAAATTTATCCTACACATGCTCTATACCCTTATATATTTTTTCTAGCAAAACTTATTTGTCATTAAACAGTGATTTCTTTGAAAATGATATTCTAACAAATATTTCAAAACTACTGTAAGAAACTGCAGATATTTCTGTATCAATGGAAATCATTTCATTTTAAAGGACAGGAAAAAGCTTTAGAACTTTTTTTCTCAAGATGTATTTTTATATGAAATACATACGGTAATTTGTGTGGTACACTACTGACTTCTAACTACACATAAACAAACGCTTCTTCACAATCAATACAAACTCTATAAAGGATGTTTGCTTCACACAATATCAACTTTTCTCCTAAATTTGATGTGCTACTTTTTGACATTTCCATAAGCAAAGCATTAAGAAGATGATCCTTAATCAAAGAATTTTTGCTGACATTTTAAAAAAATAAGTGTGTAGGAATTTTTGTGTCATGAATTGATAGACCAAATTGCTGCTTTTTATACTACAACATTGTAATTTACTTCCGAGAAAATATTTTACAAAACTAATTATTCCCTCCATAATTTTCTTTGACATATTTTTTCACTTTTATTTCCTACACCATTTCCTAGATAAAATGCTTCGCAGAGCGCAGCCTGATACGACCGCAGAGGTCGAACCTTGACCAGTTGGGGCAAGTTTGGACACAATAATCAAGCTTGATACTGTCTGAATTTGGATTGTGATCAAATTTTTGACATAATATAGGTTTCTGACACAAAATAAATGTGGTCAAAGAGCTTAAAAATTTGAAATGGGACATTCATTTTACCTAGAATGGTCTGATATCCAAAATCTAACAACATGGTTAGATTCAGCATATAAAAAAACACCAAAAAATTTAATTTTAGTTGAAATCAATCAAAAGTTTAATTTTGGACCCTTCAAACCTTAATATGGACTAATTTGAAAACAGGGCCCAAAATAAAAAATCTAAATACACAATAAGATTCAGCATATCATACAGCTGCAATCATTCAGTTTTTGATGAAATTAAACAAAGTTTAATTTTGGACCCTTTTGACCTCAATGTAGACCAATTTAAAAATGGGGCCCAATATCCAAAAAAGTAATACAAGGTAAGAACCCCCAAAAATTAAAGACTTTAAATGAATCCCATTGAAATTGGTTAAAAGATTTGTATTATTTTCAATTGAAGATTTCTTGCTATTGCACAATACTGTGCAATTGAAGATTTCTTGCTATTGCGCAATACTGTGTAATTGAAGATTTCTTGCTATTGCGCAATACTGTGCTATTGTGCAATACTGTGCTATTGCGCAATACTGTGTTGTTGCGCAATACTGTGCAATTAAAGATTTCTTGCTTTTGCGCAATACTATGCAATTGAAGATTTCTTGCTATTGCCCAATACTGTGAAATTGCGCAATACTGTGCAATTGGATATTTCTTGTTATTGCGCAATACTGTGCAATTGAAGATTACAAAAACTTTGAAGAAAAAAAATATGAACCCCAAAAAATTGGGGAAACACCCCCCCCCCCCCTTTTTGCACCCCCCACCCGAAGTTTATTAAATTAAAGTTATTGGCAAATTTCCAATGAAATTTATTAAAAATAAAGTTTTTGGCAAATTTCCAATGAAGTTCATTAAACTAAAGTTATTGGCAAATTTCCAATGGAATTTATTAATAATAAAGTTTTTGGCAAATTTCCAATATACATAATTTAAAAGCAGTTTAGGTGAGATAAACAAAAAAGCTCCATCAGCAACATTTTATATTGGCAAATTTCCAATGAAATTCATTAAACTAAAGTACTTGGCAAATTTCCAATGGAATTTATTAATAATAAAGTTTTTGGCAAATTTCCAATATACATAATTTAAAAGCAGTTTAGGTGAGATATTCAAATGAGTTTCAATTACCAACCTTACACTGCCTTTTAAATTATGTTTTGTACTTAAGTAATTGTCCATTAACCTGGAAACCCTTTTCCCCCCTTTTTTGCACCTTATTCCTTAACGGTTTGAGCCATAACTCCCAAAGACAATTCTTACCATCCCTTTGTGGTATTCCAATATCCAAAATCTAAATCCATGGTTAGATTCAGCATATCAAAGAACCCCAAGAATTCAATTTTTGATGAAATCAAATAAAGTTCAATTTTGGACCCTTTAAACCTCAATGTGAACCAATTTGATAACCGGGCCCAAATATCAAAAATCTAAATATATGGTTAGATTCAGCATATCGAAGAACCCCTTATATTCAATTTTTGTTGAAATCAAACAAAGTTTAATTTTGGACCCCGATTTGGACCAACTTGAATACTGGGCCCATAATAAAAAAAATAAGTACATGTTTAGATTCAGCATATCAAAGAACCCCAAGAATTCATTTTTTGTTAAAATCAAACTAAGTTTAATTTTGGACCCTTTGGACCTTAATGTAGACCAATTTGAAAACAGGACCAAAAATTAAGAATCTAAATACACGGTTAGATTAGGCAATTACCCCCAAAATCAATCCCAGCCTTCCCTTTGTGGTATGGTACCTTGCAGTACAATTTCAGAGAGATCCATACACTTGAACACAAGTTATTGTCTGGAAACTAGAAAAATGCTTATTTTTGGACCCTTTTTAGCCCCTTATTCCTAAACGTTTTGGGCAATTACACCCAAACTCAATTCCAGCTTTCCCTTTGTGATATGGAACCTTGTAGTACAATTTCAGAAAGATCCATACACTTACACACAAGTTATTGTAATGCAACTGGAAAAATGCTTGTTTTTTGCCCCTTTTTTGGCCCCTAATTCCTAATATTTTGAGGCAATTACCCCCAAAATCAATCCCAGCATTCCCTGTGTGATATGGAACCTTGTGGTACAATGTCAGAGAGATTCATACACTAACACACAAGTTATGTCTGGAAGTTACAAAAATGCTTATTTTTGACCCCTTTTTGGCCCCTAATTCCTTAACTGTTGGTACCATAACCCCCAAAATCAATCCCAACCTTCCTTTTGTGGTATTGAACCTTATGGTAAAATTTCATAGAGATTCATTCACTTAAACTAAAGTTAGAGTGCGAAAACCTATGTGTCTTCGGACGACGCCGGACGACGCCAGACGACGACGACGACGCCAACGTCATACCAATATACGACCGCAAAAATTTTTTGCGGTCGTATAAAAAGTCCATACTCTATGTTCAATGAAATGATTTTTACAGTTTCATAATTTTAATCTTAGTAGTGTATAACATTTCTATGATGAATAAATAAAAATTTAAAAGAGAGCAATCATTTACGCATCATACATTAAAAGCAAACATCCCTAAATTTAGAACAATAACAAAATAACAATAGTCCAGGAAATATCAGAAAAACCCTGCACAATGTGATAAAAGCATAAAACTTGGTATATAAGCTCCTAATACCATTCTAAGCAAAATAAGATATGGAGCCAACCTGAAAAAAATCAACTTCCGGTTTTTTCCAAGATGGCGGACAAAATTGCCAAAATTCTAAGCTAACTATCAAAGAAACCGTACACAAGGTGGTAAAACAATGAAACTTTATATATTATCTCTTTAGACCCTTCTTAACAAATAAAGATATGAAACCAATATGAAAAACTATCAACTTCCGGTTTTTCCAAGATGGCGGCTGAAATAACAAACAAAAAAAATAAAACAAGTCAATAGGACGTTGCAATATTTACAAAAAAAATATATCAGATGAGAACAATTGAAAGTAATATATATACAGTAGCTGTTATATGCAATAACACGTTCATTCATCTTGTTTGTGTCGGTAAGGCCTATACTCTGCAGTCTATCAGGCACAATCTCCACCACTCTTGCCTAAAGCTGTATTCGGAAGGGCGGATTTGAAACCCTTGCATTGTCCTCGACAACCTTTCTTGCATCCACAGTGAACAAGTACCTGCAGTGAAGAGGTTGCCTCTGCCAATATTGTCCAGAACGGGTTCTTACATGCCGTTGTCTTGCTTCTTCCAACCATACAAGTCTGGGGATGGAAGAACAGGCTGTAAAAGCAAACACTGTATCCAAATCAATCCAATTTGGTACACAGAACGTTTGGCATGTTGGTAAAGTGCCTCTCGTGTTGGTGGTACAGACTCGATTGATCTACCTTTATGTGCAAAGAGTACTTTTCTAGCTTCATTTACACTGTTGGATTCACTTGTCCGATGGTACAAAAGAACAACATATCGCTCCAGCAATGGTAGAATTAAATCACGGCATATTGTACTTGGTTGGTCTGTCATCTGTCTAAAAGCAGCTGATACCTCGGGGAACGTATTCCATGTATCCCATGCTGTTTTCTTTCCTCGTCCTCCAAATGAAGATACAGTGTCACAACCTGTAAAGGCGTGGAATATTGGTAAAAGCATGGATTCAAGAGGACTCAAAGATTGTGCAATATCATGAATAGGAATGTAACGGAAATTTTTCCCGGTTGCAAATGCTATCCATATCTCATCAGCTTCTGTGTCCTTAAATACAGATATAGCGATCACAATTACGTCTGTATCCACAGTTTTAATGCTGATCTTTTTTAAACCAGCCCTGACTGTATCTGCTTCTTCGTGTTTGCATTCTATCCAACTGTACAGATAACGTTCTTTTCAGTATTTGCTACTTCTGCAAACATGAAATGATATGCTGCACCAGGCTTGAGCATATTGACTACTGCTGCACCGTCAATTATTGTTGCATTCACTTGAGGGTTAACTATCGTTTTAGATATTAACGGCTCAAGACATTTTCTTGATAGATCTGACTTATCACACTGACGTATGGTCCCATTTTGACTCATGATGGCGGATTCTTCTGGTTACGGCGAAGATAAACTCTTCATTTTGTTTGGAGGTCTTCATATCGAGATGGCCATTTTAAAAAACTATTGGCGAAAGCTTAAGGCTGGAAGCGTCAGGTTGGACCAATGCTATTTCTTTTATGCGGTAAAAGTGTTTGTTCCCTACATAGTAAACCGAAATAGCGATGTTGGACGCGTTGATGTAGTATGGGACACATATGTAGAAAACAGCCTCAAAAGTGCAATCAGAGAAAAAAGAGGGAAGGGAATTTGAAGGCGAGTTCAAGCTCAAACAAATATCCCTAAGAACTGGCAATTGCTTTCTACGGGTTGATGAGAATAAAAGGGAGCTCTTTCAGTTTCTATCGAAAAAGGTTGGCAAAAGCAGCAAATACTGAAAAGAAAGTTATCTGTACAGTTAGAGAGAATGTGATTTCAAACCAGGCACACATAGACAGGTCAAAACTAAAACCGTGCAAACACGAAGAAACTGTTACGAGAGTTATGCTTCACGTTGCAGATGCATTTAGGGATGGTTTTAAAAAGATCAGCATTAAAACTGTGGATACAGACGTAATTGTGATCGCTTTATCTGTATTTAAGGACACAGAAGCTGATGAGATATGGATAACATTTGCAACCGGGAAACATTTCCGCTACATTCATATTCATGATATTGCACAATCTTTGGGTTCTCTTGAATATAGCCTTATAGGCTTTTACCAATATTCCACGCATTTACAGGTTGCGACACTGTATCTTCATTTGGAGGACGAGGAAAGAAACAGCATGGGATACATGGAATACTTTCCCCGAGGTATTAGCTGCTTTTAGACAGATGCAGACCAACCAAGGACAATATGCCGTGATTCAATTCTACCATTGCTGGAGCGATATGTTGTTCTTTTGTACCATCGGATAAGTGAATCAAACAGTGTAAATGAAGCTAGAAAAGTGCTCTTTGTACATAAAGGTAGATCAATCGAGTCTGTACCACCAAAACGAGAGTCACTTTTCCAACATGCCAAACGTTCTGTGTACCAAGCTGGATTGATTTGGATACAGTGTTTGCTTTTACAGCCTGTTCTTCCATCCCCAGACTTGTATGGTTGGAAGAAGCAATACAACGGCATGTAAGAACCCATTCTGGACAATATTGGCAGAGGCAACCCCTTCACTACAGGAGCTTGTTCACTGTGGATGCAAGAAAGGTTGTCGAGGACAATGCAAGGGTTTCAAATCCGCCCTTCCGAATACAGCTTTAGGCAATTGTGGTGGAGATTGTGCCTGGTGGACTGCAGCGAGTATAGGGTTTACCGACACAAACAAGATGAATGAACGTATTCTTGCATATAACAGCTACTGTATATATATTACTTTCAATTGTACTTATCTGATATAATTTTTTGGTATATATTGCAACTTCCTTTTGACTTGTTTTAACATTTTTGTTATTTCGGTCGCCATCTTGGAAAAAAACGGAAGTTGATAGTTTTTCATAATGGTTTCATATCTTTATTTGTTAAGAAGGGTCTAAAGAGATAATATATAAAGTTTCATTGTTTTACCATCTTTTGTACGGTTTCTTTGATATTTAATTTAGAATTTTTGCAATTTTGTCCGCCATCTTGGAAAAAACCGGAAGTTGATTTTTTTTCAGGTTGGCTCCATATCTTATTTTGCTTAGAATGGTGCTAGGAGCTAATATACCAAGTTTGATGCTTTTACCACATTTTGCAGAATTCTGATGAAAAAGTGGACTGAGCTGCTTGACTACAAGGAATTATTTGAATCTAGAATAATTTTGAATTTTGGAAAATTGATAAAAAATGTATGAAGAAAACTTACCTAACTAAATAGGGTTAGCCATGTGTGCATGGTTAAAGGGGGTTGGTTAGTTCATAATAAAATATTAGCGAAAGTAAAATTAACTTTAGCCATGCACGCATGGCTAACCCTATATGTTGGTTAGTTTTCATTATTATTTTCTAATGAATTTTCCAGAATTTTAATTTTTCCAGATTCAAATAATTCCTTGTTAAATAACTTTGTACTCACTCACAAGTCTTCCTATAAAATATGAAAAAAATGTATGTTTTTTTGTTCTTTTTCCCTTAATATCATTTTTGTACAAATAAGAATTTAGTATTAAATATCGGTTTCATACAACAACAAATATAAACAATAACCTTTCAAAATGATTACTATGTTAAAAATATAACCTCTTAAGGTAGGTAGGGTATCGTAATGTTCGACAATATATTTTTCTTAAACTTCTGTATAAGACTTCTTAAGTCAATGTATTATTCAAAATTTGATATCAAAAAAGGGGTCACAGACCTCGTTTTTTTCATAAAAATACATTGAAATTAACAAAATCATTTATTTTATATTGGTTATTTAGTGGAAACTTAATTTGTCCTTCTTCAGAGAACATTAAACAATAGAATTATTTAAAATTCAAGGGTAGAATATCTTTTCATAAATGCTTCCAACAAGAGTGCATACGCTGAAATGTCTCGCCTTCTTTACTAACCATTGCTTTTATGTTGATAGTCCTAAATACAAAGCTTTACTACAAGTAACACATAAACTTAACATGATCCATAAAAATGAGGTCAAGGTCAGATAAACCAAACGAGAAATACATGTACACCTTACAATCATTCAATAAACCAAAAATAGTTGACCTATTGCTTATTGTTTCTAAGAAACAGTCTGAAACAAGAAAACTTAACATCGACCAATGAACCATGAAAATGAGGTCAAGGTCAGATGAACCATGCCAGACAGGCATGTACACCTTACAATCAATTTATGCATTAAATATAGTTGACCTATTGCTTATAGTATCTAAGAAACAAACTTAACCATGAAAACTTAACATTGACCAATGAACCATGAACATGAGGTCAAGTTCAGATGATACCTGCCAGACAGACATATACACCTTACAATCCTTCTATACATCAAATATAGTTGATCTATTGCTTATAGTTGAAGAAAAACAGACCAAAACACAAAAACTTAACACTGAGAAATGAACCGTGAAAATTAAAATAGGGGGGCACATGCCTTATCTTCTTGGAAAATACATGAAACACAAATTGTCCTATCAAATTCAGTACAATTATCTACCCTTGATTTTAAAAGGATTTTTTCTGAAAATCTGAGAAACATTAAAAGACACTTAATTTTCTATAATCTCTTCTTTTTATTTCAATAGTAAGATGTTTCTGTTGTATTTGAATGATATTTGGTAAAAAAAAAAAATGTTTACCAAAAGAGTATTTTGCAACATGCCCAAAAGGAATGACAAAAAAACACCAATCTACCTTAAGCACCCTTTTAAAAAACAACAAAAATGTATAAACATGTACAACAGGTTTATAATACCATTGAAATTCATTATCTGATTACAGATCAGCATCTACCATCTTACAGCAAGATGAACTTTGATAAACAGATAATATATTGAGCAGTATCACATGTCACCACCTGGTTTTTAGTTTGTGTGTGTGGCGGAGGGGGGAGGTCATGTTGGTATATCTATTTCCTGTGTAGTTCGCTCCAATTTTATGCAATCAATAAGGGTAAATTAAATCAAATCTTATTGTAAAAAAAATAGTGACCATGAAAATTATCTATTCATGCTGATTATTAACTATATAATCATGCTGATTATTAACTATATAATGCACTTTCAAAGGTATTTATAAATAAGTAACTTTGTTCTACCCTTAATTTTACATAATATCATGTGTTTTCTGAAAGACAAAGATCACAGCTTATAAATTTTAATTAATTTACATCCACTTCATCAAAACAAACAAATAAGTGGATCAATAAATAATAGAATTTAAAACAAAGTAACAACCTAAATAACATTCACTATTCTTAATCCAGGTAAGATTTTTAAATAAACATTGAAAATATTTACAAATAGCACTATTTCCATACAAGAGTGCACACGCTGAAATGTCTCGCCTTCTTTACTAATCATTGATATTATGTTGATAGTCCTAAATATAAAGCTTTATTACAACTGTCACATAAACTTAACATTAACCAAGTAAACTAAACATTGACCATTGAACCATGAAAATGAGGTCAAGGTCAGATGAACCATGCTAGGCAGGCATGTACAGCTAACAATTCTTCCATACAACAAATATAGTTGACCTATTGCTTATAGTTTAAGAAAAACAGACCAAAACACAAAAACTTAACACTGAGCAATGAACCTTGAAAATGAGGTCAAGGTCAAATAAAACCTGCGTGACTGCCAAATAGATCATAAAATATTTCCATACACCAAATATAGTTGAACTATTGCATATAGTATTAGAAAAAAAGACCAAAACTCAAACAAGAGTGCACACGCTGAAATGTCTCGCCTTCTTTACTAATCATTGATATTATGTTGATAGTCCTAAATATAAAGCTTTATTACAACTGTCACATAAACTTAACATTAACCAAGTAAACTAAACATTGACCAATGAACTATGAAAATGAGGTCAAGGTCAGATGAACCATGCTAGGCAGGCATGTACAGCTAACAATTCTTCCATACAACAAATAGAGTTGACCTATTGCTTATAGTTTAAGAAAAACAGACCAAAACACAAAAACTTAACACTGAGCAATGAACCTTGAAAATGAGGTCAAATAAAACCTGCGTGACTGCCAAATAGATCATAAAATATTTCCATACACCAAATATAGTTGAACTATTGCATACAGTATAAGAAAAACAGACCAAAACACAAAAACTTAACTATAACCACTGAACCATGAAAATGAGGTCAAGGTCAGATGACACCTGCCAGTTGGACATGTACACCTTACAGTCCTTCCATACACCAAATATACTAGACCTATTGCTTATAGTATCTGAGATATGGACTTGACCACCAAAACTTAACCTTGTTCATTGATCCATGAAATGAGGTCGAGGTCAAGTGAAAACTGTCTGACGGGCATGAGGACCTTGCAAGGTACGCACATACCAAATATAGTTGAACTATTGCACATAGTATTAGAAAAAAAGACCAAAACTCAAAAACTTAACTTTGACCACTGAACCATGAAAATAAGGTCAAGGTCAGATGACACCTGCCCGCTAGACATGTACACCTTACAATCATTCCATACACCAAATATAGTAGACCTATGGCATACAGTATAAGAAAAACAGACCAAAACACAAAAACTTAACTATAACCACTGAACCATGAAAATGAGGTCAAGGTCAGATGACACCTGCCAGTTGGACATGTACACCTTACAGTCCTTCCATACACCGAATATACTAGACCTATTGCTTATAGTATCTGAGATATGGACTTGACCACCAAAACTTAACCTTGTTCATTGATCCATGAAATGAGGTCGAGGTCAAGTGAAAACTGTCTGACGGGCATGAGGACCTTGCAAGGTACGCACATACCAAATATAGTTGAACTATTGCACATAGTATTAGAAAAAAAGACCAAAACTCAAAAACTTAACTTTGACCACTGAACCATGAAAATAAGGTCAAGGTCAGATGACACCTGCCCGCTAGACATGTACACCTTACAATCATTCCATACACCAAATATAGTAGACCTATGGCATACAGTATAAGAAAAACAGACCAAAACACAAAAACTTAACTATAACCACTGAACCATGAAAATGAGGTCAAGGTCAGATGACACCTGCCAGTTGGACATGTACACCTTACAGTCCTTCCATACACCGAATATACTAGACCTATTGCTTATAGTATCTGAGATATGGACTTGACCACCAAAACTTAACCTTGTTCATTGATCCATGAAATGAGGTCGAGGTCAAGTGAAAACTGTCTGACGGGCATGAGGACCTTGCAAGGTACGCACATACCAAATATAGTTGAACTATTGCACATAGTATTAGAAAAAAAGACCAAAACTCAAAAACTTAACTTTGACCACTGAACCATGAAAATGAGGTCAAGGTCAGATGACACCTGCCCGCTAGACATGTACACCTTACAATCATTCCATACACCAAATATAGTAGACCTATGGCATACAGTATAAGAAATACAGACCAAAACACAAAAACTTAACTATAACCACTGAACCATGAAAATGAGGTCAAGGTCAGATGACACCTGCCAGTTGGACATGTACACCTTACAGTCCTTCCATACACCGAATATACAAGACCTATTGCTTATAGTATCTGAGATATGGACTTGACCACCAAAACTTAACCTTGTTCACTGATCCATGAAATGAGGTCGAGGTCAAGTGAAAACTGTCTGACGGGCATGAGGACCTTGCAAGGTACGCACATACCAAATATAGTTATCCTATTACTTATAATAAGAGAGAATCTAACATTACAAAAAATCTGAACTTTTTTTTCAAGTAGTCACTGAACCATGAAAATGAGGTCAAGGACATTTGACATGTGACTGACGGAAACTTCGTAACATGAGGAATCCATATACAAAGTATGAAGCATCCAGACCTTCCACCTTCAAAAATATAAAGCTTTTAAGAAGTTAGCTAACGCCGCCGCCGCCGCCGTAGCCGCCGCCGGATCACTATCCCTATGTCGAGCTTTCTGCGACAAAAGTCGCAGGCTCGACAAAAACTATATACCCACATAATTATTCAATTCATTATATTATAAAATTCATTCTTATATCACAGAAGTAAAAAAAAATAGAACCATAATACCTCTAGAGAGATCACTTCAACATTTAAAGAACTCAAAATGAACTAATCTTATTACATGAATTTTTTCAGGCTATTTGAACTGATGAGAAAAGCTCATACTGGCCATACAAACCAGGTGTGCTGAAAAAAACCCTACTTTTCTTGCCAATTTATAACAATTATTGGCTGTGAGATGAGGCTAAATTATTTTGGTGATTTCAAAATAAAATCAAACTACAAAATCTGCTTGATGTAATGAAAATTTCTGATATTTAGCATTTGCTAAGATTTCTTAAATATAAAAAAAAAACACCATGAGACAGGTTTTTAACAAAAAGACAGGTGTCTGCAAAGGTCAAACTTTTAGTCAAAATGCTCTGTTAAAAAAGTCCTTAAATGGTCCTTATGGTCTGGTCCTATACCTTGTCAATATGATAACTAAACTCCCCATGATTCAAACCATTGGTTTTCAGTAGCATATGCTCATAAACATTAAATAAGCAAGGAATTCCTAGTATTATGGATTTCTTAATTTTCCGTGATTGTCAAATTTTGAGGATACAAAATTTTGCAGCTTCAATATTAGCACTTTAGTAGTGATTAAAATGATTATTTTTTTGTGTATATATATAGTATTCAAATATGTGGTATCTCTTTAGCTAATCATGAAATCTACAAAAGGTTGGTGTCAATGAGTATTAACAAATCTAAATCAAAGGGCCATAACTCTATGCAGTTTTTCTCATCAAGTTTTGTTTGCAAGTTGGGCCTAGGAAGGTGTACTTAAATCTTTCCCATGGTTAAGTCTTTGTACAATGCTTTTTAATGGACAGCAAAACGTTTGAATAGGTTAAATTTTGCAATAAAATGCTTACCACCAAAATAGCAAAATTTAGTTGTGCATTACCAGCTATATGGTATCGTTATAGCCAAATATGTAAAGGACAAAAAGACCTATCTTTTGGAAATGCAACTATTTTAAAGATGATAAAAATTTAAGTACCCCTATGATTTATTCAGAGCTACCCTATATTAACTCAGGACTAAAAGCAGGGTATAAAACCAAATATCTATCAAATCAAGTTTGATGCATAAAAACTAAAATATAAACTTTGTCAGGTGAGTTACAACCTTATTTAAGGATGTTCGCTCCTCTTTTGTTTTTTAATTTTTGCCAGATATTCGGAATCCTCTGGTTTTATCCATTTAGTGCTATTAAAAAAATTTCCCCCGCTAACCCCTACTTTTCTTTTCATAATTTTATTACATGCAGCTTAAAAGGCCATAATTGAAAATCTTATAAAATCTTTGTTATTTTTTCATAGTCTTTTAAAAAAAAAAGGTGCCAATGTTAATTGTATGTTTACCAAAAATGTCTACTTTCACAGTGCTAAACTATAAATTGTAAGTAATGATTTGCATGCTTTAAAAAATAATTTGTAATATACTGTATACAAGGAGCAGACTGCACTGAAACCTATGCAATCTTCTTGATATAAATTCCCGACAAAATTCCAGGCATGCAATCATCAACTTCCACCCCCTGATTAAATATTCCTCTCTTGTTGTCATATGTCCACCACATGTTATGAATATTAATTCTCACTGTGAAATGCTGGTCATGCCAAAAGCTCAATGCATGAATCTGGTAATGTGACTCACCAACACAGAACTGACTAAGCATGTCCTTCACATTTGCCTTTGGAACTCTGCCTTGGGAGGCATTTATGTATATAAAAGTGGATTCAATACTTCTTACAGTTCGTTTAATACCTGGTGGTATCCTGTAAATAAATTATGAAATAATCTTAATAGCATTTACAAGTAAAGACAAAAACAATATAAGAGTGTTTGGTTTATTGATTTTCTGAACATTATGCTGAAATATTACTTATTACAAAAAAAGATCAGACAGTTACAACACCATACCACACCATCCACCAACACCGACTCCTTTGAAAATAAATGAAGAATTCGTCCACAGTTGCCCCCACTTGTAAATATACAGCAAGTTCTGCAATTTTTCAATAAAGGGACATAACTCAAGAACGGTGAAAGTGACACCATCCAAATCCATACTAGATCTGTGTTTGGAGGTAATACTTATTGTGCATAAGTTTCATATCATTTGGTTGAGGCAAACTAAAGTAAGAGAACTAAAACTAATGTTGAGAGGTATATATGTTACAGTGAATTTGTATAATCACGGATTATGTAGAATCCCTGATTTTTCAGGGATTATGTAGAATCACCAAAATCATTAGTGATTATATATAATCCCTGAAAATGACCAGTGATTTTACATAATCACTGAACATTAATTTTTATATAATTATTCTACAAATTCCCTAGTATGATTTCAGGGATTATCAATAATTCAAAGATCCTGTGTTTGATAAAAATTAAATAAAGATAACTTGTCATTTGTGTTTTCTTATTCCTTGAAAGTTTAAGTGAACAGTAAGTATTTAAATTGTTTAAAGGCTCCTACCATCTCTTATATTTCATATAGATTACACTCTTTACATCCTTATACATTAACATAGGATTGGGGCTGGTGGGAATAGATCTAAAAAAATAACAAAACTTAAATATCTGACGATGATATGCAATCTATTTAATTTCAAGTTCATCATGGTTTACCAAGATCATTTATATGACAAAAAAATGTTCAAACTGTAAATCCACAGTGCATTTTATTTGTAGTAAAACAAATGGTGAGGAAGGTTATGAAACATCTGTGTGTATTTTGTGTTCAAATGAACAAGAAATTCAAACTGAGAGAACTGACGCAACTAAATGTATAGAAAAATTTGTGAGGGTTCCGCGGAACCCAGTGTCTCGCCTACTTTTGCTGTTGTCTATGTTTTCAGTGTGATAGGATAATGCACATGATAGATTAATTTAACAGTTACTGAAATGGTTTATGTATTTAATAAATGTTTTAAAAACTGTAACTGCAGACTGAATGTAATGTAAGCTGGAAAAAAAATAAGTCCATTTATAAGTAATGTACGGATAAACAGGAAGTAAGTTGTTTTTAAATTTCTTTCTAGATACTAGCTTTTGATCATAAACAAGTTTCTGTCCAAGATTGGTACAAATCCAGGATAGTTTAAGAAAGTTATTTTTTTAAACTTTAACCACAGAGTGAATGTAATGTTTGTTTTTTAAAATATTGTGCTTAATATTTTAATATTATATGCTTCAGTCAGGGGTACTACATGTACAAGTAATCTTTATTTACTTGAAGAAGTAAATAAAATAAACTTATATAAGTTAATTATATTGTTTGAATAATCTCCCCTTAATTTTCTCAAAAATTTACTTGTATAAATAAATTTTTTTTACAATCCCACAAAAATTCTCAAGTTTTGAGATGTAAAAACATGCCTTTAACAATTTTTCTCAGGTTAGCTCATAATTTTTTATTAGAGTTCAATGTTTCATCTCATTAATTCAACAAAGAAACTGATTGCGCAAAGATCTTAAGTATTTGCCAAGGCCTTCAAAAATTGCCCCTTGGGGGCTTGTAAATGAGCAGTGTTCTGAAGATAACAGACAAATGAGATTTTCATTGTCCATGAAATTACACTTAAATGATTAGTAAAGATATCTGCAAAGGACAGACAATCAAAAATTCTATTAGAGCAAAGAAGTCCTAAGAATTCAAGAAAAGAAGATAGGATGACTTTTTTACTTGTATAAGTAAACAAATCTGAATGTCTAAGGGACATAACTAACCCCAATTTTTTTTACCTATACAAGTAAATAAAATACACTTGTATAAGTATCCTACAAATTTACTTATATAAGTATATTAATATTTACTTCAAGTAAATAAAAATTACTTCTACAAGTAGTACCCTTGACTGTGCTTAATAATTTAGTATATTGTTCCTAACATTTTGATATGTTGTGCATAAGATTTTAATGTATTCGAGGTTATCATTTTAACATATTGTGCTTTACATTTTACAATCTATATGTTTATAATGATTTTTTAATATGATTTTAAAGAATGAATTATTTAACTTTTATTCATTTTCTATATAAATGAAACTAATTCTTCATTTCAGTTATTCTGTATAAACCCCGACATTTTTTCTAGTGATTATACATAATCCCTGAAAATTTTAGAGATTATATATAATCCCTAAACTAACCGATTCTACATAATCCCTGAACATTTTAGGGATTCTACATAATCATTGATTATACAAATTCACTGTAACATATAAACGTACAGATGGACAAGGGTAAAACTTAATGCCCCCTCTGCTGCAGCAAGGGCAAAAAATATACCTGACAAATAAGTAAATTTTATTTGATCCACACATACTTCGAATCAACAATAGATATAAACTTAAGAGAGCACTTACAACCGACTATAATATATGATTGATTTTTGGTGTTTAAAACCACTTTCAGCACTATTACCTATTTTGTGGCCTTCAGTTTTTATTTGCGGAGGAAAGAGGAGTACCTGGAGAGAACCACCAACCTTTGGCAGGAAAACAGAAGTTTCAGTCAATAGGTCATGACTTAGGAGGTGGGGTCAGTTAATATCCATGGAAATGAGATGTGCCAATGCTTATATATAAATACAATTTAATACTAAATATCATTGACTTACTATTAGTGATTAATCTTAAACTTCCAAACTTCATCCAAAAGACTATGAGTTAGGGGACATGGCCAAATGATCTCCATGGAAATGAGACTTGCAAAAGTTTTACAAATGCATACTAACTATCATTGACTAACCATTAGTGGTTCCCCTTATACTGACCTATTCACAAACTTAATTGTTGCTGATGCCAGACATTTTTGTTGATCTTGCAATGCTGAAAATTTTGGTGTTTGCAGTTTCTACAGTTACTACCTATATAGCTATCTAATATTGTTTTCAATATTAATGGCAAAAACTAAAATTATTCAAAAATCGTTTTATGGCAATAACTCCTAAAGCAAATGTAAAGGGATACATCAAATAATTTTGGTGGCAATGGGAAGAAGGAACATTTTTGTAGATCTTAATATTCTGAGCATTTTTGTCTCTTTAAGAATTTCTTTATCTATTATGATTTTTAAAATATTAGATGCATTTTTACCAGTATGTTGTATTTTAGCCATGGTGGCCATGCCATGTTGGTTGATTGGCAGGAACAAAAAACACAAAAAGTAGAAATAATATTAATACTTCTGAATAATACTGTAAATTCAGAAATTATTGCGAGGTTTTTTATTAATGGGAATAATGCGACTGGTTAAGTATCGCAATATTAGATGCATTTTTACCAGTATGTTGTATTTTAGCCATGGTGGTCATGTTGGTTGATTGTCAGGAACAAAAAACACAAAAAGTAGAAATAACATTAATACTTCTGAATAATACTGTAAACTCAGAAATTATTGCGAGGTTTTTTATTATTGGGAATAATGCGACTGGTTGAGTATCGCAATAATAACTTGCATTCTTACATCTGATACAAAGATATGTATGCCAATTTTCCCGAAATCGCAATAATAAATCTCTCATTTTTTTCCATTTTTAAAAATGGCAATAATAAATGCATGCAATTATATTCTGAATTTACAGTAACCTTAATAAATACAATTCTTTGTCCTTCCTTAATATTACCTCTGACAATTACTGCAAGGTTCTTCTTTCCCCATCAGATGTTGGTTCAGATAATGTCCTACAGATGTTGAAGTCAAGGTTCCTTGGTACCTGAAACAAGATACACATTATTCTCATTTCAATATTAGAGAATGGGCTGTCTACAAATTTTGTTTTCCTTTTTTCGAGGTATAACATATTAATACCGTTTTTTTCCTATATTATCCTGTATATTATCCTGTGGCGTTTAAAAGTTTGTTTCCTTTATGAAAGAGCATTCTATATTTATTTTCTATCAATTGTTTTGGCTTGTAAAAATTTCCAGAGAAGTTCCAATGTCCCTTAAACAAGAGCAGCTGATAAGATCTGGAAAAGACAGCAAATTATGGAATACAGTTAACCTCAAGAGTTTTTGCAACAAAAATAATAATCAGCAATTGTACTATAACATCAAAATCAATTAAAACTGCTATGTTTTAGTCCTGTTTTTTAATTGTTTGACCATGGAATGAATGCTTAAATCATTGCCTTGATATTAAGAAGGATAGTAAGTGCTCATCAAATTCTGTATGTCTGCCCTGTGCCCATGTTAGGAGCCTGTAATTTAGTGGTGTCTGTCAAATTTGTTTTCCAATTATTGTTTTTACATAAATCTGGTGGTTGGTTTTCTTGTTTAAAAGAAATTGTTCTACGTCAAGGCCTTTCAATGCTTAACTATACAGTATGTGTTTTGCTGATCGTTAAAGGCCATATGGTGCCTTTAGTTGTTTATATCCACTGATCCACATCATTTGGACTTAAAAGTTACCATCTCATTAGTAATAAATCTTATTTTTATATTTACAACAGTTTATTGGATTAAAGTAATCTTTTTTTTTCTATTTTCAATTGAAAGACTTTGTTAAGTAAATCTTAACATATTATCGTGTAAAGAAAAAGGTAACAAAATGAATATTTCCATAACCAGGATTATAAATACATGAAGAATTACACAAGAATTAAAACACAAGGTAATTATGTTTAGGAAAGATGAGGTACTAGTCAAGTGTGTAGTTGTTAATAGGGGTCATGGTCTTATAGTGAAACGAATCAAATCCATACTTTTTCCTAAACTGAGAGAGATTTGCTTGATCTATTTTACATCTAACCAACTGCTATCAGGTTCTGAGAGCATTTATCCTGTATTAAAAATTGCATACAAATAAATTTAACATTTTGAACAGTGTAAAAATATTGCTGTTATCTAGCAATTAAATATTGAAACTTAAAACATGTTAAATATCATAGACGTTCAGTTTTTTTATTTCCCAATTGTTAAATTTGAAGGCATTTATACTGCTTAAAATCAAGGGAAAAAAAATAACTCTGACATAAACAGTAACTTCTATAATACTTCCTACTCAATATAGAATAATACACTGTAACCAGGATAATGTATGTGTATACAATATGAATATCACAGTTACAACCCATATGGCATATATTAATAGCTGAACATATCATGGCCTAGAGTATAGACATGATAATGTCACTTTAAAAGTTTAGCATCCAGTGTGATACGAAATTTATCCACTCGAGACAGTTAAATTTTATAATTTAAAACGCGAGGCTCGCCGAGTTTTTAAATATTTAAAATTTAACTGTTGAGAGTGGATAAATATTGTATTACACAAGATTTGGTGGTGGAATCTGTTTCTCTAATGATTTTTAAACAATATGCAGGCAAACTTATTCCTTCTTTTCAAATGATCTGCAAAAAGATGTGTTCTTTTTATGAGACGTCATCAGACATGGTCACCTTTTTTCATGACGCCACAATAGGAAATTCAGAGGAAAGCAAGAAAACTTGACGTCATAATCAAATTTTGACCAATGAATAACTGAGATCAAACGAACCAAACATTGATTAAATAAAAATAATCAGCAGGTCAAGAAAAGGATAAATCGGGTAAGAATTAGAGAAACAACTTTAATCAATTTTGGTCTTACTTTATAATCAGTGAAGATTCAATCATTCTTGAGTTGATCACTGGGCATTCTTGGTTGGAACAAGTCGTCATTATCTCAGTCTTTGTATCTCCAATTATGGCTGATATAACATGTGCCTCGCTATGAATGTCTCCAACATCTCCATGCTTTTCCAAAACCATTTGTCTGATATCAGCAGTTACACTACCATAATTGTGCTGAAGATAATTTCTGACTATTTCCAACACCTGATGAACATGATGAATAATACAGAATTCAAATGCGAAAACAGTGCAAATAAAACATGTTAAAAATAATCTAATCACGGATAAACAAAGATATTAGGTATATGTCAACATGAGATAAATCAAAAACCATCAGTCTACATAGTTTCCGATAATAAACAGGTGTCCATATTGTGTTATTTTCATTTTGTATTTTGCTATATACAGTGGCAGATCCAGGGGGCATTTCATGGTTTGGAATCAACACCCCCCCCCCCCCCTTTACTTGGTTTAGATGTTCTGTTTCAACTGATTTGTCCACAACTTCATTGTTAACTATCCTAACCAAAAATCATATTAATTTCGCACTCACCATCAATTTTCTAGCTTATACCATGTTATACAGGACAGATGAATTGACAGAAGCACAATCCAAATTTGACAAGGTCCAGGACTATCACACATGGCAGGACAAAATATCTACAGGGCAAAATAGTTTTACACAATAGATTGACTACAAGTTACATACCATATGTCTAGCTGGTAATCACTTCTGGAAAAGCTAACTTTCACACAAAATTTCATTATGGACAAAATAATCATATATCCTATCGAAGATACCCACTGACAAAAGAACATGATGAACATAATCTATTTGGTGGAGCTATACTTTCATTGTTATTTGTGTTGTCTCAAATAATCAATATCCATAATTCAACTTACATGTACCTGTGCTCCTGTGGCACCCATTGTTCTGAAATAGTCAAGAATGAATCGATTCTGCAGAACAGCTGATGTAAGAACAGTTGTTACTGTGTCTGGGGAACACATATCAGGTCTATCTTGTCCAGCCAATGGTGTCCTTTGAAGTTGAGATCCTAGGTAAGAAAAAAAAATTGTTAACAAATAATATTTTCAAAATGTTTGTTCTGAAATGGAAGATTGTTGAATTTTTGTAAAATTTCATGAAGTCGGGGATTTTTAAATCACTTATTTAAGTAGCAAAATCGAAGTTTTGTCACAAATTGTGATTTTGTAGTTTTACCAAAATTTTAAACACATAGATTTAGATAATATCTTTTCATTAGTAAAATTGAAAAAAATGAACATTTTGCTTCTTTTAAGCAGCAAGGTTTATGCCTTTGATGCAATCATTTAGCTGCAAATTCTATTTTAGTTGAAAAAATGCTATAAAAATGGCTTTACATAATGGATTGATAATAATTGTTCAACATTTCTTACCGATATAACATGTAACTTTTATTATTCTTCCCTTAGTTTATTTATTTTGTATTCAAAATTATTTATTTTGTAAAAATATTTCCTTTCTCTATTGGTACTGTACAGGTATACCTAACAACAAAATTATTTTCATTTACCTGTGTTTAAAGTTATTGCAAATGGATGGTATTTTTGTTCGAGCATATTGTTTTTCTTTAATTGTTTAACATTTCTTACCGATATAACATGTTACTTTTATTATTCTTCCCTTAGTTTATTTATTTTGTATTTACATTGTGTCATAGGTCAAATTTATTTGTTCAGTGTATGTTCAATGGTGTTAATATGTCCTTTGATTGAGTTAAGCTATTTCAGTTGATATTTTATAGTGTGTTTTTCTATGATGTGATGTTACACTATTGTTTCAGAAAAAGGGTGAAGGTTTGGTACCATTAAAACGTTTAAACCCGCTGCATTTGTTTGCAACTGTCCTAAGTCAGGAATCTGATGTTCAGTAGTTGTCGTTTGTTGATGTGTGGTTCATAAGTGTTTCTCGTTTCTCTTTTTTTATATAGATTAGACCGTTGGTTTTCCCGTTTGAATGGTTTTACACTAGTAATTTTTTGGGGCCCTTTATAGCTTACTGTTCGGTGTGAGCCAAGGCTCCGTGTTGAAGACCTTACTGTGACCTATAATATTTTACTTTTATAAATTTTGACTTGGATGGAGAGTTGTCTCATTGGCACTCATACCACATCTTCTTATATCTAATTGATACTTTCTTAACAGATTTTTCCCAGCAGTGGGAGTATTTTTCCTGTAAAATTCAAGGTTTCATCTTATAGATTATGTAATAAAATTCTACTGTTCGCGATCAAAATTTCACTGTTCAGGGGGTGTTGAAATTAGTGGGGGTATTTGAAATAATGATACTTAAAGAAGTGATTTTTTGGAAGGAAATTGAGGTATGATACTTAAACAAGTGATTTTTATGTCATTATCCTAGATTTAGTACAAGGTCATCACCTGACATGACCCGGTCATCCTATCAACACAGATGTTGGTTCTGATAATTTTAGCAACATAATTAGTCCCTGGATCATTAGTATTCTATATTTAAAGCTACAATAAAATTAAATCACTTAGTCTAGTGATGAATTTGTACTACTTAAATAGGTGATTATTAAAGAAAGACAACTCTTACTTCCAACCTTTATGGACATAATGTTACTTGAATCAGTGATTTAGAAAATCACTCATTTAAGTAAGTCCCCTGACTGTTGACTAATTTATTGATGTCTGAAAAACTTTACCCTTAAATTGAACCCAACTAAAAACTTGGTAAACTCAGTCCATTAATCAATAAACTACTAAGGTACTGATGTCTGACTATCTAACTCTGATTAAGTGTTCTAGTTTTTGTTCACTGTACATACTAGTTTTTTCAGTTTATTTTAAAACAGTCATGAATTTAGGCTACTTTCCATACCAAAGGTAAATAGCAATACTAAAATAATCTTACCATTTTGATGTATATGTTCTTGAATAAGGTCTGCCAGATGATTAGCTCCCAATGGTTGGTCTTCAATTCTGACAGGATCTGACTCAATAACCCTTGATGCTTGATTGCCTCTTCCTTGTCTAGAGTTTCTTGTTTCTTGGATGTGTGGCATAGTAGCCAAAGTGTTGTTATCAGATCTTGCATCTGCTGATGAGTTACTGGAAATAATATGAGTGCTTAAACCAGAAGTTCTCAGGTTAGTTCCATGTCCTGATGCAGCAGTCATGCTATATGCTTCTTGAACTCTCTGTTCTGTTCTGGCAGAAACATTCATCATATTTGCAGTTCTTTGTACTGTTTCATCTACCATTCTATAAGTTCCTCTAGAACTGCTGTGAACTGTAGTAGAAGTATTCATACTGGTAGCATTTGCAGTTACTTGTGATGTTTCAGCAGCCATTCTATAGGTTCTTCTAGTACTGCTATACTGTGAACCTGTAGCAGAAATATTCATACTGGTAGCATTTGCAGTTACTTGTGATGTTTCAGCAGCCATTCTATAGGTTCCTCTAGTACTGCTATACTGTGAACCTGTAGCAGAAGTATTCATACTGGTAGCATTTGCAGTTACTTGTGATGTTTCAGCAGCTATTCTATAGGTTCCTCTAGTACTGCTATACTGTGAACCTGTAGTAGAAGTATTCATACTGGTAGTACTTGCAGTTACTTGTGATGTTTCAGCAGCCATTCTATAGGTTCCTCTAGTACTGCTATACTGTGAACCTGTAGCAGAAGTATTTATACTGGTAGCATTTGCAGTTACTTGTGATGTTTCAGCAGCCATTCTATAGGTTCCTCTAGTACTGCTATACTGTGAACCTGTAGCAGAAGTATTCATACTGGTAGCATTTACAGTTAGTTGTGATGTTTCAGCAGCCATTCTATAGGTTCCTCTAGTACTGCTATACTGTGAACCTGTAGTAGAAGTATTCATACTGGTAGTACTTGCAGTTCTTTGTACCATTACACCTTTGGCAATAATGTTCATTGTGTTTTCAGTACTCTGCACTATTCCAGTATTCAAGGCATAAGTTTCTCTTGAACCATTACACTGTATACCTCTGTCAGTAGGGCTCAAAGTAATTGCAGGACTAAGGGTAGTTTCAGCAGTCATATTATCTTCTGTTATAGGATGCACCCTTCTGGGTGTCATATTCAAAATATCTGCATGTGCATCTTGAGCATGTGCACCTTGAACATGTGCATTTTGAGCATGTGAAGATTGAGCATATGCAGCTTGAGTATATGCAGCTTGAGCATGTGCACCTTGAACATGTGCAGCTTGAGCATGCGATGTTAACTCATTATGATCATGATCCTCTTCCTCTGATTCATAATAGATGGTTACTAGTCCTCGTGAATGTACATCATTTATATCAACTGGAGGAATTAAATATTCTGGTTCAACCCTGATGACTGGGTTAGCAATTATATCGAACTGGTAATAAAATTGTTCAAATAAAAACTTGTATGTTTCCTTCTGATATTTGTTTTCATGCATCTTATTTGTGAAGGAATACTGAAATGCATAAGTGGAATCTCTTACAAAAAATTCATGAACCGCATACTTTATTTCTCCTGTTAAGTGATCATAATACCAACTATTGTAGCTGAAGAATTCCTTAACCTGGGATTCCAGGCTGAAGTGATCAGGCCTGAAATTCTGCCTACAGCTGGCATTCATTAAGACCTCATGCCATTCATACCTGCAATAGTTTGTTGAATAATATTCATTGCTGTAAATTACTTCCTCTATTACTATTGTTCTCTTCAGTATATAATAATTCATTGTAGAATGTTCCGACAACATTATGTAATTCATTTCAGTCTTCAGTTGTTGGTTGTAGTGGTTTCTATTCCTTTTCAATGACTTTTCTGCATGTGTTACAACAAGTTGTTGATTGGATTTATTGTCAGACAACAGTTTGTTACTGGTTTTGATTTGAGACACTGCTTCAGTGATATCTGTAACATCCCTTCCCTCCTCCTCACTACAACTAGCATTTTTGCAGCTTATATCTCCTGAAGTTATCTGCAGTTCTTTGCCAACCAAATAATCCTTGTTTCTATTGTCAACTCCTGAGGTCTCCAGTTCAGTTTTACACAAATCCTGACTAATACTTTCAACTTCCGAGGTCTCCTGTTCTGTTTTACACAAATCCTGACTAATACTTTCAACTTCCGAGGTCTCCTGTTCTGTTTTACACAAATCCTGACTAATACTTTCAACTTCCGAGGTCTCCTGTTCTGTTTTACACAAATCCTGACTAATACTTTCAACTTCCGAGGTCTCCTGTTCTGTTTTACACAAATCCTGACTAATACTTTCAACTTCCGAGGTCTCCTGTTCTGTTTTACACAAATCCTGACTAATACTTTCAACTTCCAGGGTCTTCTGTCCTGTTTTACACAAATCCTGACTAATACTTTCAACTTCCGAGGTCTCCTGTTCTGTTTTACACAAATCCTGACTAATACTTTCAACTTCCGAGGTCTCCTGTTGTGTTATACACAAATCCTGACTGATACTTTCAACTCCTGAGGTCTTCAATACTTCTTCCTCATGCTCATGGCTATATCTTGCGTCCCTTGTTACTGTGACTGTTTTATATTCCCTTTCAACATTTTCTAGGCTATCATGTGGGAAACTTTTGCAAATTTTATAAAATGGAGATAGGTTGTAGTTGGGTAAATCGGTGTCCAGATCAATGAGATCTGATGGTTGAGATGACAATATTTTCACATCTGTGCCAGGCTGGGCAATGGGTATTGATTCATCAAGATGAATATTCACAGCTGAACTCCTTAGGGGACTGTCTTCCTGGGCTTTACTTCCGCCATTGTTCTGAACAGTTTTACAGAAATGGTCAGTACTCTCCTCCCTGCCTTCATAGTCAGTATCAGACATGCATTTTTCTAATTTTCTTTCATGACTTTTTTCTTTCTTTTCAATACTGCCAGACGCTTCACCATCATTATTAGTGTTCATTGTCTTGTTAATACTAATAATAATGCTCAATGTTTGGAGTTACCAGTATCCATGTTCTTTGTTAATCGAGCAATCTGCAATTAAAAAATTTGTCTCTTCTATAAACAATGAAAAAAATAATTACAATAATCATAGAAGTAAAATTTAATCCAAATATGAAAAAAATGAAATGTACATGAAGATGATCATAACTTGTATGTACTAGTAGCTTACCAAGGTTTAGTTATAACTACTGCCACAGTCAATTCTAATAAAGTGGTCAATACTGGTAGATTGAAATTTTCATGGTGGTCTTTACTATATATAAATAAATGGAGAATGTGTCCCCATGGACACAGATGATGCCCCCATTTGCATACAACATTATAAAGGGATATAACTCAAGAACGATAAAAGTGACGCTACCCAAATTTCTACTTAAACTGAATTTTGTGGTAATAAGCATTGTGTATAAGTTTCATAACATTTGGTTGAGGCAACTTAAGTAAGAATTAAAATTGGAGTTATCTTCCTTTTTCTATAATAGTAGTTGGTTAAAATTAATTTTTAAAATTGGAGTTATCTTCCTTTGTCCATAATTGTAGTTGATTCAACTTCAATTATGGACAAAGGAAGATAACTCCAATTTTAAAAATTAATTTTAACAATAACATCATTGATAGTTTTAAAACAGATATTAGATTCCTATTTTTCCATCTGTAAAGGAGCATAACTCTAGAAAGGTTGAAGTGACACCACCAAAATTCAAACTTGATCTGTATTTTGTGGTAATAAGCATTGTGTATAAGTTTAATAACATTGGGTTGAGGCAAACTAATGTAAGAAAACGGAAACAAAAAATTCAGCATTTTTTTAATTTGTAAAGGGGCATAACTCAACAACGGTAATTGTCACGCCACCAAAATTCCAACTTGATATGTGTTTTGTAGTAATAAGCATTTTGTAAAGGTTTCATAAAATTTGGTTGAAGCAAACTAAAGTTAGAGAATGGAATCCAACTTTGGGACGTACGTACGTACAGACGGACAAGGGTGAAACTTAATGCCCCCTCCTCTACGGCAGGGGCATAATAAAAGTGATGCTACCCAAATTTGTACTTGATCTGAGTTTTGTGGTAATAAGTATTGTGTATAGGTTTCATAATGTTTGGTTGGGGCAAACTTAAGTTACAGAATGGAAACTAAAAATTTTGCAATTTTTCGATTTATAAAGGGGCATAACTTGATAATGGTTAAAGTGACGCCACCAAAATTCAACTTGATCTGTGTTTTGTAGTAATGAGCATTGTGTATAAGTTTCATAACATTTGGTTGAGGCAACTTAAGTTAGAGAACGGAAACTAAAAATTTTGAAATTTTTTCATTTATAAAGCATAACTCTAGAACCGTTAGAGGGACGCTACCAAAATTCAAACTTGATCTGTATTATGTGGTAATAAGCATTGTGTATAAGTTTCATACCGTTTGGTTGAGGCAAACTTAAGTTAGAGAACGGAAACTAAAAATTTTGCAATTTTTCCATTAATAAAGGGGCATAACTCTAGAACGGTTAAAGTGACGCCACCAAAATTCAAACTTGATCTGTGTTTTGTGGTAATAAGCATTGTGTATAAGTTTCATAACATTTGGTTGAGGCAAACTCAAGTTAGAGAACGGAAACCAATGTTGGGACGTACGGACGGACAAGGGTAAAACGTAATGCCCCCTCCGCTACGTCAGGGGCATAATACAAGTGATGCTACCCAAATTTGAACTTGATCTGAGTTTTGTGGTAATAAGTATTGTGTATAGGTTTCATAATGTTTGGTTGAGGCAAACTTAAGTTACAGAACGGAAACTACAAATTTTACAATTTTTCAATTTATTAAGAGGCATAACTCGATAATGGTTAAAGTGAGGCCACCAAAATTCAACTTGATCTGTGTTTTGTAGTAATGAGCATTGTGTATAAGTTTCATAACATTTGGTTGAGGCAACTTAAGTTAGAGAACGGAAACTAAAAATTTTGCAATTTTTTCCTATTTATAAAGGGGCATAACTCGAAAAATGGTTAAAGTGACCCCACCAAAATTCAAATTGATCTGTGTTTTGTGGTTATAAGCATTTTGTATAAGTTTCATAACATTTGGTAGAGGCAAACTTAAGTTATAGAACGGAAATAAAAAAAATTGTAATTTTTTCATTTACAAATCATAACTCTAGAACGATTAGAGTGACGCTACCAAAATTCGAACTTGATCTGTTTTATGTGGTAAAAAGCATTTGTGTATAAGTTTCATAACGTTTGGTTGAGGCAAACTTAAGTTACAGAACGGAAACTAAAAATTTTGCAGTTTTTCTTTTTATAAAGGGGCATAACTTGATAATGGTTAAAGTGACGCCACCAAAATTCAACCTGATCTGTGTTTTGTAGTAATGAGCATTGTGTATAAGTTTTATAACATTTGGTTGAGGCAACTTAAGTTAGAGAACTGAAACTAAACATTTTGCATTTTTTTTCCCATTTATAAAGGGGCATAACTCGAGAATGGTTAAAGTGACTCAACCAAAGTCAAACTTGATCTGTGTTTTGTCTTAATAAGCATTGTGTATATATAAGTTTCATAACATTTGGTAGAGGCAAACTTAAGTTAGAGAAAGGAAACTAAAAATTTTGTTATTTTTTCATTTATAAAGCATAACTCTAGAACGGTTAGAGTGACGCTACGAAAATTCAAACTTGATCTGTATTATGTGGTAATAAGCATTGTGTACAAGTTTCATAACATTTGGTTGAGGCAAAGCCCATACCGCAGAGTCAGCTATAAAAGGCCCCGAAATGACAAATGTAAACAATTCAACGAGAAAACTGACGGCCTAATTTACAACAAAAAATGAACCAAAAACAAATATGTAACACATCAACAAACGACAACCACTGAATTACAGGCTCCTGACTTGGGACAGGCACATACATACAGATTGTGGCGGGGTTAAACAAGTTAGCGGGATCCCCACCCTTCCCCTAACCTGGGACAGTAGTGTAACATTACAACATAAGAACGAACTATAAAAATCAGTTGAAAAAGTCTTAACTCATCAGATGGATACAAATAGAAATACTACACAGAGTGGACATGGCCGGGTACTTGTATATCCCAACAACAAAAAGACATTACGTACAATTCTGAGAGTACTATGAATTCTAGTATAAAAAGACAAGAATAGATAAGCAATGATATTAGAGAAATTATTTAAAACCTGATATCAGTTTAAAAGAAATGAAAGATAATGGTGTATTTTGTGAAGGGTAAGATACTTAATAGTAACTTAGCCATAAGCTGTTAAAGTCATATGAAACTTCAAATAAAAAAAAATGATGCATATGTTTTTTATAACAAAATGGTTAGTGTTTATTATAAAACATATGAATATATACTTTTTTCTCAAGAAAATTCTATAATTTGTCCAAATTTAGAAGAAATTTACTTTTTTTTCATTGTTTGTTATATGCAGTGAACTCAGCATGACCTTTCTCATAAAAATTTGGTGATCGCAATACGCATGGATCTGTCATTGAAATAAACTATTATCTTATTGTACATGTTATACACGTGCTTAATATTCATGCTTCTTTGTTGATTGTTTACAAAGGTGACAATCGGTAAACTACAGCTTCAAAACACGACAATTAATTAGCTGCCATATTTTCACATCATAACACACCAACAGAATTTTTTTTTGGACGATTATATGATATGGATATGCATGATATGGTATGATTTCCAATGAGACAACTCTCCACAAGAGACCAAATGACACAGAAATTAACAACTATAGGTCACCGTATGGCCTTCAACAAATGAGCAAAGCCCATACCACATAGTCAACTAATTTACAATAATTACATTACATGTATTTTTTATTTTAATACGTTATTTATATTGGCTAACAGTAATTTTGCGTCATTCTGAAATAAATACCCATTTCAAAATGAAATGTAACATTCTAAATTGTTCTAGATGACACGAGCTTCCACAATAAAGTGAACACTGTCAGGTAAATAAAAGCAAAATGTGATAGAAATTGTGTTTTTATGATTTTAGCAAAAAAAATGTTATTATAAGTATTGAATGCTTCTTTTTATAGTAATTTCGTAGGGTTGTAAAAGTGTTGACAAAGTGCACATTTTTGGAATGAAGCGCTTCTGCTAATAAAAACACTGGGGTGTACCTTGAAAACAGGATATACCACACTTTTCCTGACTTCAGCCCAACCTGTTAATATAGTTTTAAAACAAAAAGTACTGATTTTCTTTTTAGCTCACCATGGCCAAAGGGCCCAATGTAAGCTTATGCCATCACTTGGCGTCCGTCGTCGTACATCGTCTGTCATCGTCATCTTCTACATAAACTATTTCAAAAATCTTCTCCTCTGAAACTACTGGGCCAAATACCTTCAAACTTTAACTGAGTATTCCTTAGGGTATCTAATTTTCAAATTGTATCCAAAGTTTTGGCCCCAAAATATAGCAGTTTTACAAAATTGTTAAAATGTAAACTTTTAGCTATACTTCTGCTACATAATTATGGGCTGTTTTTGACAATACAATGCACATATATCGGGTACTACATGTAGCATCATAAAGTCATGCTAAATTACTGAAATATTCACAATTTTAGCAAATTTGAGTTAACTTTCAGATGGTTTCCATCTTAAATGGAAGTGGCCGCATTTGTGTTCATTCTTAATATTTAAATGTAAGTTGTATTTGATAATAATACATGACATATATAAAGGTTGAGAGTGAACACGGATGCGGCCACTTTCATTTTTGACAAAAACAATCTGAAAGTGATATGTTATGGCATATTTGATAGATTTTGCATATTTCAGCTTGAATTTGAGCGTCTTTAATGACTAAATCAGTTGAAATCTTTCACATAAACTAATTGAATCGACTGAAGTAGACACTTAAGTGTTTAAAAAGTGTCCAAAATCTTTCATCAGATGAACCTGAAATTTGAGGCCAAAATCGGCCCTTACCGCACCTACTCCTTTGACATGGGTTAAAAATGTTAAATAGGT